TCAGACGTGTGCTCTTCCGATCTCCCCAAAACCCCAAAACCCCATTAATTAAAATCACAATCCTTAAATTTGTTAGATAAATCAGGATAATTATTCAGATGTCTATGTAAATCATTAAATCACATAAGGGGTAGGGTACTTGCAAGTGAGTCCCGATTAAAACATGGTATCAAAATTGAAATCTTTCATAGTACGATTTTCAATCAAATGCAAAATCAAAGGAGCAGTTAAATCTCTCAAGCATAAATGTGAATACGCCTCTGTTGAGAAAATATAAGATTCATCAACAGTTGGGAAGACACCAGTCTTCATTCCAAATTGGGGATCGTTACTTGTCATTCTCATATCTTTTAATGACAGCAGGGCAAATACATGATCTCCCTCACGAATACCATCGCTATTCAGGAGCTAGTGGTACTTGCTAGGTCCATCATTCTTGTAGGGTGGAGCAGGATAATATCCATTATCACTATTACACCAGGTTTCTCCTAGCTTTACTGCACATTCCAGAATGCCTTAGTTTCCTCCAGCAAGAGATATAAACGTATCAACTTTAGCAGTAAGAGGAGTGCCGACATCGTACTATTCTTCGGCAATATCAATTTTTCCACCTTTAATTACTCTTCTTGTTAAGGTCACACCCATTGAATGAGTGACAACATCAATTTTATCAGCTTTGGTGTAAGCAAGTACGGCTTCAAAAAAGGGTCTCAAATACATTATTCTTTTTTTATCATGCGTCTCTAGTCCACTTAGACTGTAATTGCCATTACCCCAAGTAGTTGCATAGAGTTCCTACTATGTGTAGCCATGTGAGAGGAGATACTATATAGTTTAAGTGTAACCAATTTTCCAGTCATCTACTCCGACTGCTACATCCGAATTGCCATGAACAAAGATTATCGGTCTGTTCTTAATAACATCAGTGTCACTTTATTTGCCTCCAAAAGAACCTCCAATAATGTCATCTCTGTTAAAATTGAATGTGTCGTATTTGTTGTCGCTCAGCCATTTTTTGAAATGCTCTGTCAACCCTGCTTGAATATCAGCTTAAGCCGAATTTATAATCCCTAATATGAGAAAGAGACTTTTATGAGAATATCTCATATCCTAAAGTTAATAATATAAATTTTATTAGTATTTATTTCTCTTTGATATTTTGGATATTCTTGTAAAATAGATCTAAGGGGTTTTGGGGTTTTGGGGTTTTGGGG